AAAAAAAAAAGAAAAAGAAACAGGTTCCTATTCTGTAACCCAGGCTGGCGTGCAGTGGCATGATCACAGCTCACTGCAGCCTTGAATTCCTGGGCTAAAGCAATACCAACTACAAGTGTGCACCACAACACCTGGCAGTTTAAAAAATTTTTTATAGAGACAGAGTGTCACTGTGTTGCCCAGGCTGGTCTTGAGCTCCTGGCCTCAAACGATGCTCTTGCCTTGGCCTCTCAAAGTGCTGGGATTACAGACACGAGTCACTGAGCCTGGACCAGAATACATTTTTATTTACTTTTTTTTAATCATTACGAAAGTATTTTTACTATGTTTAAAGTAAAAATAATTGAGAAGTATAGAGATAATTAACCAAAAAATTAAGAACCCTGCCACCCATAATCTCAACCCCAGGCACAACTTGCCACTCTTAACATCTTGGGACAATTTCCTTCTTTCCTTCTTGTCTCTACGTATTACCTTGAAAAAAAATGGTTGATAGGATTTTTTTTTTGGAATTGGAGTCTCCGTCGCCCAGATTAGAGTGCAGTGGCATGCTCTTGGCCACCGCAGCCTCAATCTGCTGGGCTCAGGTGATCCTTCCGCCTCAGCTTTCCAAGTAGCTGGAACTACAGGCGCGCGCTACCAGGCCCAGCTAATTTTTTGATTTATTGTAGAGATGAGGTCTTGCCAAGTTGCCCAGGCTGGTCTTGAACCTGTGGGCTCAGGCAATCCTCTCGCCTCAGCCTCCCAAAGTGCTGGGATTATAGGTGTGAGCCACTCCTCCTGGACGAGAACTTTTTTCCTGAACATTATATCCTGAGCATTTTGTCATGTCTTTAAAATCTGTCCCCATACTCGAACCCTTGGCCTTATCTTAACCCCACATCCCCTGCTCTCTCCTCCCTGCTGTCCCCTCCTACCTCCTGGCTGGCTCAGCGCCCGGTGGATGAAGTCGGCGGCTGTCTGGAAGTGGATGCTCATGTCGAAGGCCGGTGAGTCATGGGCCTCAACACCCAGGTAGCGGATGCCCAGTCCCTCGTAGGCCTCAGGCGTGCCCCGCCACCTGCTGTGCGAGGCGTTGAGGACGTGCGTGATGCCCAGACGGCGAAGCTCCCGGCGGTTGTTTGCCATGTCCCTGTGATGAGTAGAAATTAGAGCAGGGTGGGAAGCCAAGTTGGTGGGGGAATGTTCCCTTGTCTAGACCCCATCAGCTGCCTGGACATTATCGTTGGCCTCGGGCTTTGATTTTACTCACTAGTAAACCAGAAGAGAGGAACTCAGATGGGCAATGACCTGGGGCCTTGTCCTGTGAGCACTGGTTGAGAGTACTGGGGAAATTTCTCCTGAGAAGACTAAGGGGACAGGTGACAAAAGTCATAATGAGATATTGAAAGTGTGCGCTGAGGATGTGGGGTTGTCTTGGATCTGTAGGGTCCTAAAGAGCAGAATAAGGATCAAAGAATTGGAGCTCCAGGGAGACAGATTTCAATTTCATATGAGGAAGTACGTCCTAACAGGGATGCAGCTGAGTGAAGATGGTATCCCGGGAGAGAGCAATTTTCCCATCACTGGGATATTCAAGCAGAAAGAAGAGATTGATGTGTGGACTTGGCTTTTTTTTTTTTTTTTTTGAGTGGGAGTCTCACTTTGTCACCCAGGCTGGAGTGCAGTGGCCACTCCCGGCCACCGCAGCCTCGACCTGCTGGGCTCCGGCGATCCTTCCGCCTCAGCTTTCCAAGTAGCTGGAACTACAGGCGCACGCCACCACGTCCGGCTAATTTTTTGATTTATTGTGGAGATGAGGTCTCGTCAAGTTGCCCGGGCGGGTCTCGAACCCGCAGGCTCAGGCAATCCACTCACCTCAGCCTCCCAAAGTGCTGGGATTACAGGTTGAGCCACCGAGCCCGGCTTTGCTTTTTTTTTTTTAGAACAGATTATGAGCTTCAATAGGCATGGATGTTGTTGAGGGGATTTGGATATCAGGTGGGTTGTTGGTCCTTGCTAACCTTGAGATGACATGGTCTGACATTGCTCCCACACCTGGTTTCCCCATGACTTTGGACTCTTTTTTTTTTTTTGAGTTGTAGTCTTACTCTGTCGCCCAGGCTGGAGTGCAGTGGCATGCTCACAGCCACCACAGCCTTGACTTGCTAGGCTCAGAAGATCCTTGCACCTCAGTCTTCCAAGTAGCTGGAACTACAGGCACACGCCGCTATACCTGGCTAATTTTTTGATTTATTGTGGAGATGAGGTCTCACCAAGTTGCCCAGGTTGGTCTTGAACTCGCAGGCTCAGGCAATCCTCTCACCTTGGCCTCCCAAAGTACTGGGATTATAAGTGTGAGTCACTGTGCCTGGCCTGAACTCTTTTTGACACCTAGAATCTTTTTGTGCTTTGCTGTTTACTCTGTGGTTTGCATTTACCCTGTTTTATAATGTCACCTTCAGATGTTCATCTGGTCCACACCCCCTCAGCCTAGTGGTAGATGCCTCTTGGGCATCATGGTCATATCTCAGGGCAAATGACTGGTCCAGTGCAAACTCCTCAAATAGGAAAAGCAATGCACTTGAACCTCAAAGTCCTGACTCTGTAACTTCCAACCTTTGTGCCAGTCACAACTTGTCTGAGCTTCAGTTTCCTTATCTGTAACCTGGGGATAGTGGTATCTACCTCGCAAGACTGTTGTGAAGATTAACAGAGAAAATGCATGAGAAAAAAAATCCTTGTATACTGGAAAGCCCATGAGGGAAAGAAATGGGGATGGCTGGTTCCTTTCCTATTTTTCTCTCCAAAGCCCCCAACTTGTGGGATCTCTGCAGATACTGCGGCTTTGCCTGGTCTCAAGAGGAACTATTTGACTCACTACCTACTGTTCCTGGCTCCAAATTACTGCCTTTTCCCAGAGCTGTAGCACAATAGATGGAAGGTCAGAGAAGTCACCTATTGTGCCTGGTATGCAGCATTGGCACTCAGTAATAAATATTTGCTGCATGAATGACATTATTGCTGGAATACGTCTTTTTTGCCCAGAGTTGGGTATTTCAAGAATCCTGCCCAAACTCCCCCAAACCCTTGGCCTCTATCTCTGCCCAGGCGCTCCCTTCCCTTAATTCTCAACCAGAAACCAACGACACAACTCAGGGCCTGTTGGCCACACTTCTCCTTTCTTCACACACACACACACACACACACACACACACACACACACACACACACAAATGCACATACATGCACATACACACACTCAGCTGTGGGTTCAGTCTGCCCGGTACCTACTGGTCTCCGAGGTAGAGGCCTGGCCAGACCTCATCGGCATGGTTACAGGCCGTCTTGCCTGTGTAGAGCAGCCGCTCCAACTCAAAGACATTGAGGAAAGGATGTTGAACGGTTGGCATCTCCTCCAGGGACCCTCGAGTGCGGACCGGAGACCTTGAGCTACTCCGAGAGAAGCGGGCCATAAAAGTCATGGAGGCCCAGAGCCAGTTACCAGGGCACATCTTAGAGATGGCAGAGATGGTGGCAGCTGCCGAGGGGTTGCAGGGATGCTGAGGTCGGGTGCCAGGTAGCTGCTGTTGGGAGAGGAAGGGGAATGAGACACACATGAGCCAGTCCAGAGCACTGCCTTCTGTCCTGCCAGTCAGCTGGGCCCTGGGGTGAAGATTCTTCTCAAGTGAGAGAAGGTAAGTCAGGCTCTGGCGGGCCCTTCAGGGTCAGCTTTTCCTTTAAACCGCGGTCACTCCTTTCGCTGGGCTCCTGGGCTCTGCCACACAAGGAGGTGGGAGAGTCACGTGTCTCTGTTTACGAGGAGCGGGAGCTGCCCAGCTGCTGGGCTTCTGCTTCACCGCCCCACCCCCACTGCCAGCACACACACAGAAACACACACACACACACACACACACACACACACACACACACACACACACACGGCATCTGGGTGATGGTGACTGTTGCTGGGGCTCTTGCCAGCCTGAATCTGGGTCTCATCTGCCTGGGGCTATAGGCACAGAGTCTAGGGAGCTAGGAAGGGATTGGGGAGGTGGGTGGCTTTGGACCCATTCAGAGAGAATTAGCAGGAAGACAATGGCACCTGGAGCCAAGACACTTGCCAAGCCTGCCTTCTCAGGGCCTGAAGGATAGGCCACTTTAACCCTTTCTTGCTCTATAACTGCCTCAGAGATAAATCTGCCATTCAAAGGGTATGTGGGGGAGGAGGACAGCAAGAAAGAGGAAGTTTGGGAAAAAGACTTGCTGAACGCATGAGCTAATGGAAGAAGATGCCAATCTAAGTGCACAACTGGCCAACGCCCTCCTTTCCTCAGCATCAGGAAAGTATTGATCGAATCTCATTTCTAATGTGAGCATTTCTGAGTTGAAGCAAGGCTGGAGGGCTGTGTCTGTGTGTGTGCATTGGGGGATGGGGCAGAGAATCAGAGGATGAGGTGGCCTGGAAAGAGGGAAGGAAAGGGAAAAATGAGAACTCCTGCCAGGCCCAGGGGTCCAGAGGCTCACAATTACCATCCGTATTGCTGTTGGAGTCAAGTGGCCCTACACAATGAAGGCTTAGCAGGTGTGTCTGTCTCAGGCTACCTGTGGGCATCCAGTCCTTCTGGAAGTGGGGCCATGCTTTGAGTTGGGGAGGGCCAGCATTTGAAGTGTGCCCGGGGGCCTTCAGGCAGGGAGGGAACTATAGCAGACCCTTTCCCCTCCTACTCCTCCGGCCACGCCTATGGTCCTGCATGTTTCCAAGGATGGGCAGGCTTTCAGAATCCTCTCCCACTCCCTTCCCCAACAGCAAGTGGGGGACCTCACCAAGGGACCTGAGGCGGATGGCCAGCAGTGAGAGGCCATTTTTGGCCCTGCCCCTGATCTGCCCCAGCCCCACACTCTCAGCCAGGGCCCAGCTCGCCCTTCCTCCAGGACCAGGAGAGACCAAGCACTTGCCGGACATACGAAGCTGGGGTTTTAGGTTCAGGACTGGTGAGAGAAGATTGGATCCAAGGGTATTTTGGAGGGGAGAGATTTTGTCAAAGGCCGGGTCCGAAGGAGCACAGAAATACAGCACCATAGCCATCTTCAGTATCCTAACAATCATTTTCATCACCACCACCACCACCACCACCATCATCATCGCCACCACCATTACCGTCTACCTTTTCGGCTCAGGCCTAAGGACCCCATCACTTTATTCCCAAACCGCCTTTTCTCTGGAAGGTTCTGCCGCCTACGCGATGACGAACGGCTAGGGGGGACGCGGGAAGGAGCCGGGGGTCCAGGCAGGAGCTTTGGGGGACTCCACCTGGGAGGTGGAGAAGCCCCACGCTGTCCCGGGTACACCCTGGGCGTTCTCCAATCCCATCAGTCGGCCTTCAGGGGCCCCGGCCCGCAGCCCCCCTCCCTCCGTCTGCTGTCGCGGTAGTAACAGGTTCATGGCTGTCGCCCCAGCCCTTGCCAACCAGACAGCCTGGCGCTGGGGGCGGAGGGGGAGCCCAGGAGGCGCAGCTCGCTCCAGTGTCCCTTCCT